GGGCTGTTTTTATCACAAAGTGTAAAAATAAAAAGTGCCGATACTCAAAGTATCTATTACAGTAGCGCGTAAAAACAATGTGTTGTTGCTGCGTACCTGTGCACCATCATCATCATGTAGCAGGTCCTTTGCAGAACGTCGCTCTCATCACGGTCTGCATGAAAGAAACTCTGTCTTTCGCCAGCTGCCCCGCCTTATGTACTTTCATACTCAAGGAGTTACTTATATCCTGTGCCCATCTTCGCGTTGGTCGGCCCCTGCTCCTCCTTTCTGGTACCATGCCCTCTGCTATAATTTTTTTTTTATATCGCCGTTGCGCTTGATTTGACCAAAATATTTCAGCTCCTGAGACAGGATGCTGTTTATTAGCCAGTCTTCCTTGATGTTCAGATCTTTCACGATGTCAGTATTTCTTCTCTTCTTCGTCCAAGATATTCCGAGAATCTTTCTATAGCACTTCAGCTCAAAAGCCCATATTCTCTTTCTTAAGGACTGTGCATACCTCCATAAAAAGAAAAAGACCTAGGGATAGTGACAAGGTGACTTCAGTCACCGCATAATATGTTGCTGGCGATAATGTTTTCTTCATGTATAACATGTTGTTTTTTCCAGAATAAATTACAGCCTAACGCAAAAGCTCTTGTACAATTCGATTATGCATTGGCCATACCGATACGAGATAAAGACGGACGTTGCATTAAAGTTGGCGTGGGTAAATATAATTAAATTAACTATTTATATTGTCATATTGTCATATTGTCTGGTGCTGAACAATACCCATAATTAAATTCATTGAGAAATAAAGACTGAAAAAGTTCAACCAACTAGTGAAAATAATTCAACGACGCCGACAGCGAGAATGTACAATATGAAAATGGAAACAGTAAGAGGCAGAAAGAAACATAGAAGAAGATTGAAGCAGTCATTACCAGCTAAAAACCGCACAATATAAAAGACTACACAAATAACCGAGCGCGCCCTGGCTCAGTTACATATCATTCGTTACACTAGAACGCTAAAGGGCCCAAAGCACACCATGAAAAAAGAAGAAGTCTATTGCTGACAGTTACTGTCTTTAGCTCTGTATTCTTATAAAGAGCACAGACTTGTATCAACTCGTTCAGTGCCTTCTGGTTTTATGTTCCGCAGCTCACCTCTCTTTTTATTCAATCCCGTTTTCCTTCCCTTCTCCGAGTGCTATTATCTCTACACCTATCTTGTTTGACCCGTAGGTTGCAATGAAACAACACTCTTCCCCTACTGTTTCACGTTTCCTTAGTGTGCGTTCTATCAAACGCCAGCACCCCCCCCCCACCCCCCCCCCCCGTCTTCCTGATTCCTTTAACTAATGCAAAAATGCAAACGATTATTTGGGGTAGACTGTTAAGCATATCAAATACCCATATAAGATGCAAATTTCTCTGTGCGGGTACCAGGAGCATTTTGGGAAAAGAAAGAATATGCGTACTTCCCAAATTTAAGTATGTCATAAAAGGCTAGGAAGTTGCGGAAATCGGATGTTTAAGGCTGAAAAGTGCAGCCAAGCTTTAAACTATTAGACAATGTGTCAACCACCTTTTTCTTTAAAGGTTAATGCAGAAAAAGAAGAAGAAGAAGAAGAAGAAGAAGAAGAAGAAGAAGAAGAAGAAGAAGAAGAAGAAGAAGAAGAAGAAGAAGAAGAAGAAGAAGAAGAAAAAGAAGAAGAAGAAGAAAATAAGAAAAGAAGAAGAAGAAGAAGAAGAAGAAGAAGAAGAAGAAGAAGAAGAAGAGTAAGATGCCAATGTAAGATACATATGTAAGATGCATATGTAATAACATAAGATCTTGCACATATAAAAGTGAAGCACGTCAGTGTGGTCTTCCTGGTCAACATAGGAGACCAACGTCTCATGGAAGCGTTCAGTAAAGGTACCCTGGTGTAGCTGCGTCCGAGGACTAAGTGCGCTCAGGAATGCCCAGTGTTATTTGACGTCGAATGTGACAGCTTAGCATAACAAATGTTAAATATCTGTATCAAATCCAAGATGTCTGTGTGAGATGCCTTTCGGAACAATTCACAATCATTTACACAAAAATATTAGACATTTACACTGAATATTAAGGGTTTTTTTTTTTTTTTACATGTAGGTCATTTGTAAAACTTGAAACTTTAAAAACGTATTCTGAAAGGTGAACCAGGACTTTTCATTGGGAAGGTCCCAGACAATCTAGTCCAAAATGGACAGTTTAAGATGTACCTCAGTTCTCCAGAAGCCAATGAAGCCAAACTTGTAAGGGATGCATTCGAGCCAGGAGACATCTACATGAACTTCGGCGATGTCATGGTGTTGGATAAAGATTACTTCTTGTATTTTCAAGACAGAATTGGTGATACATTCAGGTGCGTACGAGCATTTTTGTTTTTGTTTTTGGTTCTAGCTGGACTGGTGATGAAAGTAGGAGAGTGAATGAAGTTGTGAGGCAGATGTTTCATAAAATTGCTGTTTTATTATCTACTTGTATATCTGATGTCAAAAAAGTGGAGACAAGCTATCATGTAGCACTGAATTAAATATATGTCTATCACGCGGTCGGTTGGTCAATCGGCTGGTCTGTGTGTCTGTCTTTCTATCAGCCTGTCTCTGGACTGTATATGTATATATAATATATATATATATATATATATATATATATATATATATATATATTATATATATATATATATATATATATATATATATATATATACATATATATATATATACGTGTGTGTGTGTATGTTTGTGTCACTGTGTAAAGAGCTGAAAGTGAGTGCACTGTGCATATGTATATAGCGAGAAGTACATATACATTGATATCATTAACATTAATATGTTACTTACAATTGACGAAACAATATTGCACACTTACAATGTTACTAAATTACAAACAAAATTAATACAAATGTCAAAACGTAATTTGTTTATCTACTGCCGCAGGTGGAAGGGAGAGAACGTATCTACTACGGAAGTTTCTAACGTTATCACGGCTCTAGAGTTTGTTCAGGATGCAAATGTTTATGGAGTAGAAGTCCCGGGTGAGTTTATACTTAGTTATTTTATATCATCTCACAACATCATCATTTATAGACATTTTGAAGCCATTTATAAAATAAGAAACATTCCTACCCACTTTTTAGGTGGGTGGTTTGGTAAATATCAAGTTGGCTTCTATTTCTTCCAGGAACAGTTTATGGAATCCTGATTAATCTGACACCCTCCGAAAGCCCTAGTCAATTTAAAAAAGTCCACTTCAATATTTATTCAAGCCCATGCCCATGAAATCAACAGGCTACTGCGCTGCCATGGTTTAAAATAAAAGCCATTCCCCACACATACACCCATATATATATATATATATTATATATATATATATATATATATATATATATATATATATATATATATATATATATGCAGCAAACAGCAGCGCAATGCAAGATGTTAGATGTAGCGGCCTAAATAGTTTTTGATTCGATATATATATATATATATATATAGATATATATATATATATATATATATATATAATATATATATATAAAAATATTATATGCACACTTCTACATATTATAATGTGTGTGGAACAGATAAATACCTAAATGGCTGCCATTCTTACACAGATTTGTACATAGACGAAATTATGCAGTCTGGGTATTGCATCACCACGGTAACCTCTTAAAGCTAACCACATAGGTAATCTAAGCCCTATGTGATAACATGTACATTAAAACAATGATCTATGTGATCTGAACATTTTATTCGAAAGGATTCATTTTTTATGCATCTGTATACGTTAGTGTATATACTGCATCATGCGCAGGACACGCTGGCGTGATTTTTCTCTTTTCCAGTTTTGAAAATAAAATTGTATGTAGATTAAAATTGCCCGTCAACCCCACAGAAAAACCTACTCGACCCCATTTGGGATCGCTACACATGGGTTCGGGATCTGTGCTTTACACATTCTACAAACCGACATACAGGGTGGCTTGGCTTGCTTCCTTAGCTGCCGCTATTCTTTTTCAAACAAACCCACGAGAATTCTGGATGTTTTTTGATACTAATTTTTATCTTCTTCTTTGTGTTCAGTTTCGAATGCTCAGATCAGACCATCAGGTGGGTTGCCTCTTTGAACTCGCATGTCAGTAGCAGGTCATTCATGGTTCCTCGTAGCTTGCTCTGCACACTTTGCTCTTGAGCCAGGTTTCTTCTCGAAGTTGTAGGTACAGAGGGCAGGTCTCCAGAATGTGCTCAGGTGCATATTGTCCTGTCTGACAGGCACACTGTGGGGATTGTACAGTCTTTGTTTTATGCATGTGGTAGTTGAGCCGGAAGTCTCCTGTTCGTAGAGGAAAAATTGTTGTGTGTTGCTTTTTGTTGAGTCTGCTGAAGGGGTCTTTTGGATGTGTACTGATAACGACAATGAATGGGTGTGTAGTTTCTCCTTTGTTCCATTTTTCGCAAGTCTGTCTGCTAACTCATTTTCTGTAATGCGGTAGTAAAGTGAAATCCACTGCATAACTATTTGACTGTTTTTCTGAGAGTCTGTTTTTTTTTAAATATAATGCTAAGTTGACTAGATCTTTCTGGGAATTGAACCCTGACCGCTTACTGGAAAGGCAAGCACACGGACCACCGGGACACCTAACATTCCATCTGTCAACACTTTTCGGTGTTGAGAATTACGAGTATATTTCAAAAGTGTAACTATTTTAATTACGACAGATTATTTAAAAAAGCATTTAAGTTTAACGTTAACTAATGTTTTTTTTTTCAATCCACTATCCAATTTAACAGGTAAAGAAGGACGAGCTGGAATGGTGGCGCTGACCCTAAATGAAGGTCACAAGCTGGGTCCAAAAGAACTGAAGGAGTTGTACGAACATGTATGCCAGGAGCTTCCATCTTATGCCAGGCCGATTTTTGTACGCCATCTTGAAAACGCCGTTGTTACCAGCACATTAAAACAACAGAAATTTG